CAAAGTGGGAGTTAGCGCCCTCTGCTGGGTATTAAAAGAACTGCAGTTTATTTTCTTAGAAAACCGATTTTAAGTGAAAACAGATCAATTAGTCAAATCTTTAATGTCAACATTAAAGATTTGACTAAGGTGGCTATCAGGTAACAAAGGGTTTAAATTTAAGGTTTGGTTGGGCCAGAGAAGATCTGAAGTCGGAAGTTTAGGAGAGACGCTCAGAGAAAACAAAACTGTGTTCATTTTGTTCAAACTTCTTTGTTTGTTTTTTCTTTTTGCTGCCATCAGTGAAGGAGAGGTAAATATGCCAAATAATTTCTGTTTACCTGGTCTTGTGTAACTTTGAAACATATTTTCCATCGACAGCACTGGTGCGTAATCCACAACACGTCGATAGCTCTGCTGGAAACACTTGCATGAGTACCTACTGCAAGAATGAATTGTTCTAGTGATTATGCGCCGTGTTGGTTGGAAGAGACTGAAGCAGTGAACATGATCGAGTCAGAGGCAGCAGATTAGCTGAACATCGTCGTGTTTATTGTGCCCGATGTTGCTTTTGTTCCTTTTATCCAGGGACAGGATCGAGTTTCAGGATCTTTATCTCTTCATCAGCATTTTTAAGGGCTTCCTCTCTGCCAGCTCCTGTCCTCATCAGCAGTATCAGCTTCCCTTTGTTTGTTCTTCAGTGTTCGGTGTCTTTGTGTCCTCTTTCCTGCACAGTGTGAGAAATGGCTGAGAGGTCAATCCAGTCTTTTTATTCCCATCTTTTCCTTCACATCAGTCGATCAGATTACCAGTTACAGAGCAGATTAAAACCGAAGAAAAGTCCAGCTAAGAAAAAGTTCATCAGATTAGAAACAAAAATGGAAAATAATGAGGACTCCTAGTCGAAGACAACTAACTAAACATCACATAATGAAGCAGTCACATCATTTAAGACAAACGGGGCCTCGTGATGTTCTGAAGCACGATACGGGCCTCGACACAACGACTTCGGGGCTTCAGTGTCAGACGTAACATCACGCTTGAAAGCAAAAAGCTAACACAGCTGGTTGGGAGCTCTGTGTGGCCTCCCTGACACGTTTTCTGGTTTATTCATAGCAGAACATGTGAAGAAACTGAAAATACCACCTTAAAACTCTGTCAGGATGGCAGTAATCTAATACTTTTTACAGTATGTGGTTGGAGACGGACAAAAAACGCCAAACAAACACTAACAAATATTTTGTTTTACTGTTAATGTAAGTGTAATGTAGTTTCCTCCATTGTCACAGCAAACCAGTGATCAAATGTGGACAAGTTTAAAACTGAAAACAAGACGAAAGTCAGAAAGTTGTACCCACCGAAACTGCCAATCACACCCTTCACGTTCTCCAAGCTTTTTAACTTTTTTCCTGAAATAATTTCTACTTCTTCTGATTCCCTCAGTGCTGAAGAGATGAAGACTCAGGAAGAATACTGCTAAAAACATCTCTTTCTTCTTTTCAGGATGAATCTCAGCATGTTTCATTATTGTGGATGAATGGGTCACAGCGTAAAGTGGGAGAAAATCTCCTTCACACAGTCTAGTATATGTGACTAGATGGTAAAGACAGTAAAGGTTTACTAAGAGTCGTGCTGATGTGGTC